GCTGGCACCGAGTGCTGGGTCTGAGGTGGGAGGGACACTCGGCCCCTCAAGTGAAATCATCTCTCACCTGAAATGATGTCCTCAATGGCCCCATCTTTGCCTTCGTAGATGAGAGGCTCCTTCACCATCTGCTTCTTCTTGAGCTCAGCGATCATGTCCATCTGCTGCCGCTTGGCCTTCTGGATGGGCAGCTGGGGAGGGACAGTGTGGGTGAGAGGCGTGGCCACCCCCCACCCCCCAACAGACCTGGGGTGCCCTCACCTTCACCTCCCGCCCAGCTCTCCCTCCCCAGGGCCTGTTTAGTCCCTCCCCACCAGGCAGCCCACTCGGGGCTGGAGCTGGGACCCCCCCAGGACACGGACACGGGAGCTCCTTCACCTCCGGCTGCTGCTCGGTGGGGCTGTTTTCTGCCTCCTTGGCCGCGGCCTCTTGTTTCTTCCACAGCTCAATGTCCTGCTCTGCTTTCTTGGGAGAGGGGCAGGAAGGGTGTGCTGAGCCAGGGGGGTCCTGCTGCAGGACTGCAGCCCCCCACAAAGCTCCCAGCTCACCCCATTCCAGCTCCAGCATCTCTGAGCATCCCAAAGGCTGTTCCCAAGCCCCAGGGTCTCCCAGCCCCATGAGCCCCAGCCTCGCCCGTGGCTTCTGCTGGTTGTCCCAAGTGAGGTCAAACCCCCCAAATCCCCTCCCAACCCTCAGAAACAGGACACCCCCTGCCCTCTCCTACCTTGTAGGCTCTGATGAAGCGCATGAACATGGGGAAGAAGGTGGTGGGGGGACTGGTCTTGGGGTTCTCCCCAAAATACTCCACAGCCGACTCATAGGCCTCCTGCGGGCACAGACACCCCGATGTGGGGGCAGGGGCTGGGCAGCAGCACCCAACACCCACCTCCTCCTTCCAGCCTCTCCCACCTCACCATCCCACTCCATATCCCTCCCAGCTCTCCTGCTGGAGCCACATCCCAACCATGAGCCTCTCCCATGGGCCAGGGGTGGGAGCACCCTGGGGTGTTCCCATGTAGGAATGGGGGACACAATCCTATCCTCTGCCCCCTCCCAGCACCCCAGCACCCACCTTGGCAGTTTTGCTGTCAGCCTGCAGCTTCTCCATCACCTCTGAGTTGACCTTGAGGAAGTCCTTGAGCACGGGGCTGTCGTCCTGGCGCAGGAACTCCCTGCGGGTCAGCTCCATGCCCTGCTGGAGGCTCCGCACGTCCTGCAGGACCCCGTCCAGGGACACTGCGGGGGCAGAGTGTGGGGTCAGGGCAGGCTGGCAGCACCAGGGGCTGCCACAAGCCCAGCCCAGGGCCCGTGGGCACTACCTGTGCCCGCCTTGTCGAGGAAGTGCAGCTCGGTGTGGAAGCCCGTGAGCTCCGGGTACTTCTCCGTGATCACCCGCACCAGGTAGTGCAGCAGCGTCTGCTTGCGGTCCGTGGACTTCATCTCCAGGAGCTGGGGGAGAGCTGGGTCAGCCCCGACCCTCCTCAACCAGCCCTTCACCCTGCCCAGGGCAGGCTCTGCTGGCCCTTCATTACTGTGGCTGGGTCTGCATCCCTCCCTCCCCACGGCCAGGTCTGTATCCCACCATGCCCATGCTCATTCTTCACCCCTCCATCCCTATGGCTGGATCTGCATCCCTGCATCCCTGCATCCCTGCATCCCTGCATCCCTG